TTATCTCTCTTGGAATATCTGCGCGGCGGCTCGGGAGAACGCATAAATCTCTATGAATAGATATCGCCAATTTATATATTGAAAAAAATTATTAATTCTCCGTCCCGGATCTACGCATTCCTCCGAATAGCCACGCCGACACCCAAAAAGAGAGAAATCATGCGGACCATATAAGATCGCGCATGAATCTCGACGAATAATCAATATATAAGACCGCACGCGATTTAGAAAACGGCTAATCTAATAGATTCTGAAAGATTTGGGAGCAGTGGCTCGGGAGAATATATAAATCTCTATGAATAGATACGATCAAACTATAAATTCTATTTTTTTTTAGAATTTCCTCCCGGATCTGATCTATGCGCTCCTCTGATCAACCGCGCCGAGAATCAAAGAAAGATAAATCATATAGATCATATAAGATCGTACGTATATCTCGACGAATAATACATATCTAAGGACCGCATATGATCAAGAACGACCAATCTAATAGATTCTGAAAGATTTTGGCACATTTTGGAGCACCAATTCTGGAGAACGTATAAATCTCTGCGAATAGATACGACCAATCTATAGATTCTAATCTATTCTTGGGATTTCCTCTCGGGATCAAATCCAAAGCGATCCTAAATCGCGGCTATTCGGCGGCTTGCGCCTCGAATGAAAAGAAAGAAATTTATTATTCAAGATTTCGAAGATCTATTTCCCTTATTTGAAATGAAAAGGAAGAAATCTTGCTATTCAAGATTTCCAAGAAATCTAATCATCTTCATATTCGTGAGAGGGAAAAAGAATCATAAAAAGATTCGACGTCCGCATTCTAGTCGGATTTCCAAGAAATCTGATTATTCATCTTCATATATATATGAGGGAAAAAGAAGGAGAATAAGATTCGGCATCCGTTTTCCAATCGTGAAACCCCGCCGCCGCCCGCCACGAATTAGACGAGCAGGAAGACGCCGAAAGAAGGAAAATCAATAAGACAACAACGGACCCTCAAACGAAATGAAGAAATAATGAGAAAATGGGATGCTCTATCTCCAATCATCTATTCGTTTAAGATCCCGTCTCCTCAACTTCAGGAGCATCATATCCTGCGCGTGCAATCCTGATATCAATTTCTATGATCATATCTCCTCAGAATATATTTGCAGGAATTGAATAGAACGATCATAGATTTTGGGCGTATGCGTTCCTCTGAATAACCGCGCCGACAATCAAAGAAAGATAAATCACGCGGATCATATAAGATCGCACATAGATCTCGACGAATAATCAATATATAAGAATCGCATATGACCAAGAACGACCAATCTAATAGATTCTGAAAGATTTTAGATCTCCGCCCAAGATCTTCGCCGAGCCGCCGCGCAGATAGCCGAAGAGAGAAAAATTGATCGAAATCTCGGGAGATTTCGGGTCGCGCGGCCCCCGCATCCAATCCGGTCTTTCCATCTCATTTATTTTTATTAGATTATCTGCACGGCAATTCGAGAGAATATATATATCTTCGTAGATAGATATTATCAATTTGAAAAATCTAGAAGATTTTGAGTCTCCGTCTCGGATCTATATTCTCTGCCGACAGACAATCAAAGAGAGATAAATCACGCGGAAAATCGTTCCGGAGGCGGCAAGGGCCGCACGACCAACAATTCTAAGATTGAACGTGTCGTCTATTTCAAAAATTTCGAAGATTTTAGAATCTATCAATATCGCGAATCAAAAATTATATCATATCATCAGAAATATTCTACTAGAAATATATATATATATTGAATATTAACAAGATTCTAAAAAATTATATTCATCAAATATTATTCAATATTACGGCGCGGCCATTTGCGGTCATTTTGCTCGCGCGCGGCTTTATTTTTCCGGCTCCCCTCTAAAATTCTCTTATGCGTTGGCTAGGGCTTGAAAAATCTCGGAAATTTTAGAGCCGTTCGGGAAAGCTAGAGGCTCTAAAATCTTCGAAATTTTCTGCGCCGACGGCGCGACCAAAAATCTCCGAGATTTTTGGTCGCGTGACCGAGATTTTTGGTCGCGCGACCCTTACCTCCGGAGCGATTTTCCGCGTAATTTATCTCTCTTTGGTCATCTATATATAGATCCAAAATGAAGAATCAAATCTTTCAGAATTATAGAATAATCGTATCTATCTACGGAGATTTACGACCTCCCATGCGGGGACCGCTCGACCCAAAATTTTCCAATATCTCGATATCTTTCTCTCTCTTTAATTATTTGCGTATCGTCTCGAGCTAGATCAAGAAGCGGAAATCACGTATGATCTTATATCTTAATTATTCAGATTTCATATGCTATCTTATATGATATATATCATATCTCTGAGAGGGCAATTATTCGTTCCAGCTCATAATCTTTCTACAAAGAATTTATTCATCCAATCGACCGATATTTAATCATCGAATTTCTCGCTATGAATCTTCTCAAATGAATATCATCTACTATTACTTGCGTCCCAGGTCATGATTTTGGATGAGTATTCGGGTCCAGGTTAGGTTTGAACAACAAGCGCGCTCACGTTTTCCTCTGCCATGCAAGCGTTCATTCAGATCGGATGTAGCTGCTGCGCTACGACCTACATTCAAGCGCGGCCTACACAAATCTTACAGGAATTGCATCGCAAGCCTAGCCGAACACCAGCGATTCCCAAAGCTTTATCCGCACCGCACACGAGCTGACTTGAAGTGCTTCCATCCGCCAGGAATCCAGCCCAGCCAGGCGCGATACTTGAGAGCTTCCAACTTTTTTGTGCAGCCTGAGCCTTTCAAGGGTCAAAGGTATTGCAGGCGTTGGAGGGTCCAGTCCTGGGAGAGTTTCAAGTATGTACGGGCCTTCTATTGATGGCAACATATATCAGCATAGCAACATCAGAAAATTCGCAGGTTAGATTACTTTCAAGCCGTATCCTCAACCAAGCATGAATGGAAGCAGCTTAGCATCGCATGATGGTTCTGAGCTTGACTTCTGCACCAGAAATCGTGAGCTGCGCCGCAGAGCTTAAGGAAGATGCCAGGATGCACTGCACTTAAATGGGCACGATGCTTACCTGTTTGCAGCCCATTTTGCCGCAATTCGAAATCTTCATGATTGAGCCTGCGTTCTCCTATTTATACCCTATAAGCATTAGTCTAGTGATTTTGATATATCATAACTTCTTAATAGATAATTGCCGACCTATATTAGAAAACGAATCAATTCTAATTATCTCATTTATCAAGAGAAAAATCAGATCCTCAAAATTTGATGAATGTCTAATAAATTAAAGAAATCTTCAGAGATTATAGAAATTTAAATGAAAATCGCCTCGTCAATTATTATCCGAATCTCTTAATACATCAGAATTAATATTTATCTTCTTGATAATATTCGAATCCCTATATTTGATTTATTTCTTATCTTCTTTGAATTAGATCTAATTATCTCTCAAATAGAAATTTGCAAGAAAATGCTTATCTTTTATCTAGAACGATTTGTAGATACGCATAGCGCCCATATTTCTGATATTATCAAAATTCATCGTATATCTATCATATTCAAAACCATATCAAAAAATTAATGGATCGCTTCTGGGCTAGTAGAGGCGGCCAAATGGAAGAAGCAAATAAAAATCGTAGCTGACTAGGTTTTGTTCTTGCAGATTTTGAATGTATCTGCGTCCTTCTCGGTCCTTGCTGAGAACCATCTTCCGCGGGGCCTCCGGTTTTAGCCGAGGACTCGAAACGAGCAGTTGCAAGGAGTGATCTGACACGACCACTCGCTTCCAACTACTGGAACCAATGGAAACAACACCAGACAGGCAGCTGGGGAAAAGGTGCCTGGTCAAATGGGCAAGGCTTCATATCAGAAACGGCACTTCTCGACTTAATTAAGGGTTTGTGCGTAAAAGCGGTTCCCGTTGGAGATCCTGCTATGAGGGATTTCCATGCCGCATCTGTTCACTTTTTGTCAGAACAACAACATATTGCTTTCTATCACTGCCTCTGTTCCAGCGTGCCAATTATGACTGAGCCTGTCCCGACCTATCAACATCGGCACCGAAACAAAATTCCACGGCCGAAAGGTTTGCTGCAACCCCTCGGCCGCGGAAACTGACACGACTTTTGAAACGGTTCTACTTTTGAGAGCTCGAACCACTGAGGACACAAGCGATCGCATCTCTGGCAACCAGCAATGCCCTTGCAGCATCCTCACGGGTTCAGTGTCAGCAGCAGCCAAAGGTTCTCTTCCAGCGCATGCGGCAGCAAAACCGACGCGCGAAGAAAGACCTTGAGCGGGTAGGAAGAATTGTTAAGGACTGCAGTCGGACTTAGGACTTGAATTGACTATGAGGATGCTATGGGAAGATATAATGATTCCACAAATCACGTGATGTGGATCCGGTCCTTCGGGGAAAGCTACTAGTACAAGTCTTGCCAGAAGACAGACAAGTGTGCCCATGCACAGATTTTGGAAATTCTGCCTACGTGCAATTGAAACACAACGAAGAGACACAACACATCATTCTGCCCAGCAGCCAATATGCAGAACGTGCCGCTACCATGTCCATCGAAAGAGCTCGTACCACAGCCATGATCCGTGCACATCATAACTATGCTTGGTCTTGGTCTCATCCTGTGAAAGTGCCCTCACTCCTGAACGCACACTGGAATGACTGAACCTTTAGATCATGACATGATTCCAAAAAATCTACTGATACATGCACAATCAGGGCAGCAAGCCGTGAGGAACACCACTGCGGGGAAGGTCAGCATCAGCAAGCTCCGCAGCTCCAGACTGATGACCCTCCTGGCAAATCGGAAGTTTGGTTACACATCATGAAATCACTCTTGCTTCTTCTAGGCGCCGCTTGACATGATGTTGAAATTGATGCCGTCGTGTCTGGCTGGCGTGCTCTCACACACACACACACACATTTTGTGTGACACATCGGCTTGCATCAGACTCACCGAGCTGGTGTATGTTTTATCTTCTCTCTGTTCTTTGCTTGCTAAATGTTGTGTCATGTAGCCTGTCCCACATGCAGTACTCGGCTCCTCTCGTACAATGACAGCACCAGCGTCACCATAGCGCCTCGGGGAGCTTGTATAGCAATTCCTGCCCTCCACCGCAAGCTTAGATGCTCATTGAGCACAAGGTCCCAAGAAATTCAAGGGAGAGTTCTGCACTTTCGCCTAACCTCACCACGACAAGGCATGAGCATGCTCATACTGTTTTTACTTGCCCGGCCCACCAGGCCAACATGGAGCAGATCGCATTCCCTGGGTCCGGTAGTTGGACAAGCTACATCCTAAAGTTTGAATCAACAGCCTGCGACCGCGACTGACACACAGTACAAAGCCGCCTTCAAGCCGCTGCGTGCACAGGGCGAAGCCTGCCTTCCTCTCTGGGGAGATACACACGTCCCTGCTCCCTAGCCTCCCGGGCCTCTCGTCTGCCGTTCCCCATAAACAAGCAGACCCAAACACAGAATATGTGTACCACCAGCTGTTCGGGTCTTGCAACTGATGCATTGTTCAAGCCTTATACGAAAAGATGGTCACGACGCCGAAGTATGGCAAGCACTAGTTTTTCAATGTTGTGGCAAGTAGTTTGGTCAGCCAAAACCACCCCTTAAGGTCGGTAACCTGCCAGCATTTTGACTGCAATGGCAATATGCGCAAGCCATGCCAAATTGGCTTGTTCGAGCAATGTTGGACAGTTGGACATAGAGTACTTGTGCTTACTTGTTCCTGTTGTACTGAAAGCATAGGACCACATGGCGACGTCTGCAGCTGAACTTTTACTAGTTGGATAAAACCCATGCAAAGACAGTGACGCGGTTGCACAGAAGCGATCCAGGAACTGCGAACCGGAGTTCGGCGAAGCGAATCGTTCTGTCGCAATCTGCTTCGGCAACGAGCATGAATCGAACGGAAACGGGCCCAAAACGCGCTGGTTGGTCAGAAGCCTAATACATCTCAACCCCAAGAGCTGTATGGATCAATTCAATCACAAAACAATTCTGAAAAACCCCCCCCCAACTGTGAGCGAACCAAGGCATCCCTGCTGTGGGTCATTGTCATCACCCGCCAATCCTGCTCCAAGATGTGTCCTCTGTACAAGCCGAAGGCCCAATGTACGTCCTCTGCTAAATCATGCTGCCGAAGAGCAAGCCCATGCGACGGCAAAATTGCCCGAAAAGAAGAACCTCAGCAAGTCAATCCCAGGCTTTCGCAGCAATGGAATCCAAAGTGAGTTTCCAAGTCCACCATGCGGCGGCCTGTAGACTTTCGAGAGATCCGATTGGAGGCACATCTCGCACATGTGCATGCTGTATGCTCGTGGCAGAAGTGCTCGTAAGAAAAAAGGTTGTAGCCTCCTACTTCCAGCAGTGCCGCAGGCATGATTTGTCCAAAGATGCTTAGATCCTTGAACCGCAGACATAGCTGAGATCCCTTGCTCTGGCCAGGCTTCATATCGGCTGCAAAGCTCTTCCCACCATACCTGGCGAAAAGATGGCTGGGACAGTTTACCTGCACGGTGATGTCAATGTGCATACAAATACACATGCGTGGGTATTCTGTGATGCAAGTATCACGCGCCCTACGGCCGAGCTGTAAGGTTATGCTGGTACCAAGCGTCACCCAAAAGCGCACCTGGCTGCCAGCCAGGAGGTGCAAAGATACCTTAGGCAGGAAATATTTACTCGTGGTAAGTAGGGAACGAGGGGCATTTTTTGCAGGGACAGGAGGAGTGGGACATAGGGAGCATGAGGGGATTCATGCTGTAGGGGTGGCTGCATAATCTGGGGATCCACTCCTCCTTTCCCAACTCTCCCTCCCTCACCACTAGTATGAAAAACACATCTCACACCACCGCCTCAGGCACCGCCAGCAACTGAAAAGCCCAGATACTGGGAGATTGAAAATGCCAGGCACCAGGAAGGCGTCTACTCGGTGCATCTGACCACTTTGGACCCACCAGTTCAGGATGAAGGCCTAGCAACAGGTTTAAGGTTTTAGGGTCTAGGCATTAGGTTTTAGGGTTCAGGCATGAGGTTTCAGGGTCCAGAGAGCACAAAGTAGTTTCCATAAAGCAGTCCTGATTATGGGGGCCCCCAAAAGGGTCCCGGAATTTCTGGAAAGCCAAATCTTGCTTGGAGCTCAGAATCCATAACGTCTGTAATGTCTGCGTGCCATCAGATGTGTCAACTTAGCCGACTTAGCCTCTGTATGTCTTACAGCCTTACCTGCCTGATGGGCGACCAACACCAGGGTGAGCCCTCCAACAATCGGATCCAAGATGGCAAGCTCTGGCCACACGGCACGAGCTGCTTGATACGCCAGAACCTGAGAACATCTGAGAGCCGGCGCACAGGAGTGCCTGTAAAAACATAACTGAGTGCACGGCCATGTAGAACGCAGCAGCATTCCTGAGATTGCTACTTGGGTGGAGTTGTTGACTCCTGCTGCAAACATCATGAAAAGCTGATGCTCATCACTTGGTAAAAAAAGAGGTCATACCTCAACAGACCACCTGTTGCGGCAAGGCAGACAAGCTTCAAGAAACCGCCGGTCTTCGCATCGCCCCTGCTGCCGAAGCCCAGGAGCTTTAGCACATCGCTGCGCCTCAAGGCATCAGAGTCTCAAACAGCCAGAAATGAAACAGGATGGGAAGCGGCAATGCCGTGAGCAAGATCTCTAATTGCCTGTACCATCCCCAAGAGCTGGTTGCACACCAAGGTGCCCTCTGTGCCGACTCTGAGTCTTTCATGAGATCTTCCCTTACTCCCTGGGGTGTGTGATGTGCTTCACCAGGTAAACTTAACTTCCCATCATACAGCTGCGCCATGCTCTGCTGCAGTACTGCTGCTGAGGGCTGGGCGACCCCAGGAGGCTCGGTTGGAGACCGCTGAGAGCATTCAGGATTCCAGCCCCGAGAGCCATGAGCTTCACCTACCGCCATAGGGCAGCTCTGTTGGTAAGGCGGGCAAATGGTTTAGCATGACAGCTTCAGCATGCATCGGCTTCTTGATTCACTGTGTGTCACATGCATGTCGAAGCTTTGAGGAGGTGGCTGAAAGGACATTGATTAGCACAGAGGCCTCCATGGGAAGAGTGGGCGCCTTGGTTCAGTCTGTCAATTCATTCACATGTTCAAGACAGATTTGTTTAAGAAGCCAAACTGACTCCGAGGCCAGCGCCCAGCTCCCCCCATTAAGAGTCATGATGTCCGTCATGGTGGTATACAGCAACACTGCAGCACCTGCCGGCGTGCAGAATAGTTGATACCAGGATAGGTCATCGTCACCCCTCCCTTCTGGCCTAAACCTAGATATTAGCAGAGCAACGGCATCAAGCGTCAAAGGCTCTCACCATACACATTGACCTGACCAACTGGCTCTAACTTCTGAAACAGCATTCAAGCGTGACCTAAAGCAAAGTAGACTCCGCCGCTGATGGCATGTACCTGGCCGTCTCACAGCAATGCACGAATATGTAGCTCAACTGAGGTACTGATCACTGGGGATCGTGGTACCTGAGCTCCAGGCGTGTGCAACATCAGCAGTTGTCCACATGCGATTGATGGATTGGATGCTCCACATCTTCTGCCAAGCCTCCACCTGCAAGCTTCACAACATAGGGAGTGGACACCCCATTGCAATGCAAAACGCAAAATGATTGCTCCGCAAGAGCTCACACAATCCAGAAATGAATCTCATCCTTGCTGGCGTCTTCATACCTGAACCCCCGAAACTCCAGAAGCTGCAGGTCTATTCTGCTAAAGTGATGCAGGTGTCATAATTCTACGGCTGTAGGGTCATGATCTCCTACGTTACTTATTTCAAAGGGTCTCCATACATCTCCACACTCTGGCTGAAGATGCATCTGGCCTGGGGTTCTGAAGCCACCGGGACCTCTGGCCCCCCGATCGCAGCTCCTTCCTGCCGCATGGAGCCACGTATTTTTCTGACACTCGGGACACAATTTCTGTGGGGTCCGTGGAGTAAGGGCTAAACTACATTTGGAGCTTCAGTCATGCTCTCCTCGAAACATGATTCAAAGTGAGGTTCTAGCCACTCATCAAAAACAGAATCCGAAACACTTGTGCAGGAGAAAACGGAGAAACACCCAAACCAGAGAAGCAACATCTGCAGATTGTTGTGAACATCTTACAGAAGCATATGCTTATTCCAAATAGGGACGCAGCTTCGCTGGAAGCTCCTCACTCTGATGAATGTCCCGGTCCTTCTGGGCAATGGGCCGGCATCTATGGGCCCAGTGCTCCTGGAGCGATTTTGACTCAGACAGCCAAGGCATTAGGGTTTAGGATGGTTTAGGGTTTTAGCCATCTTCGTTCTGCACCACCTTCTGGCTAGTTGTTTTGATCTCCGTGACCGAGCATGTGATTTTTCCGGTATACCAGCTTTTTTTTTGAGAAAGCGCGGTGTGGTCCCCATTACGTAGTGATCCAGAATAGCAACTGGGAAAACACTACTCCCCTCCCCCTGATACGAAACCCCAACCTCTTCTCATGTTGAATATTCTCAATATAATATGTAATGTAATCTGCCACAAGTGGACTATTCAGTAAGGGAGGGGGGGACGTAATATTAGGGGGAGGGGATTAGCATGGATTGGCGACTACTGCTGTAGCATCGCGGCTGCTCGCATCCCGCCTGGATCTCGGCCAGGGTTAGGTCTGCCCTGTTGAGGCACCTCTGCAGCTCCTTCAGGCGCAAGGGTTGTAAGGGTTATATGTGCTATAGTCTAAACTCCTAGCATGCCCCTTAATATCCCCTATAA